CGGTCAATAGCCTTGTCCTGCTCCAAATTTTTCAGGCAATCTATTAACTTCATTTTGTAACCACTTCCTGGATCTCTTTTCAGAGGTTCATATTGCATATTTTGTTTTCCCCTTTGAAAAAAAATTACATATATCTTCACCTCAGAACTGTCAAGGCAGTAACGAGTAAGTAATGGGAGAAATGCTGTGATACAAAAGATTTTTGATAATTGAACAGGAAATTAATGGGTGGATAAGTGATGTCTATTAATGTTTATATTTTCTTTTATCTTTGGTCTACTGGATGATGCTGGACGGAGAATTCAAGAGTTGCAGAGACTAGTTTTGTCCCTAGAAATGGAAATCCAGCAGCTGACAATTAAGAAGTGCCCTCCTGTGTGTGTGTGTGTGTGTCCTTGTTTATGCTACTTTGTGAGGCCCATTTTTCCAACTTATACTACATTATGAGGACCAACTGCTCCTTATGGGGCCCAAAGCCCGGGCCCCATAAGAAGAAGTCCCGTTGGTGGGTTAGGGGCTAGGTTTAGGACTAAGGTGTGAATTGAGGATGTGTTAGGTTTAGGGTTAGGTATGTACTGGTAATGGTTAGGTTATGGATAAAGGTCATGGTTAGGCTATAGAAATGAATGAAAAATGAATGGAAGTCAATGCAAAGGCCCCACAAAGATAGCAAAACAAACCTGTGTGTGTGTGTGTGTGTGTGTGTGTGTGTGTGTGTGTGTGTGTGTGTGTGTGTGTGTGTGTGTGTGTGTGTGTGTGTGTATATATATATATATACACACACAAGTTTTTTACCAACATTGCTCCATGTACAGTGTTCAATAAAATTATTAAATTAATTTTTCCAAGAAGCAGCCACATACCTTGTTTAATTGTTACACAACAGAAGCTTTAATTTGAGCATTTCCTCCCCTCCTCCATGTACTATATTACCAGATGTGTAAAATATACAAACAGATGCAATTTAAATGTAAAAGATGTACATATGCAGATTACTGAAGACAAGCTATTTAAAAAAAGTTCTGACAGAATTCTTCACAACATCAATTCATTCATTAGTAGATTTAAATAAAAAAAAAAAGATATACGGAGAGATTTCCAACACAGCTTCTTGCAGTAATGCATGTTAATCCAAGAAGTGTGACTTGAAGGAGCAGGGAGGCTCTAGGCTGGTTTGTCTCTTTTTACATCAAGACGACCCTGGTAATTTGATATTAGGCAGCAGCAGATGAACCACAGCTGATCGACTGAACCTCCTGATTGACTGGTACTCCTTCACCCTTCGCATGGCCCTCTCTACTAACATCCTCAGACGAGCCTGGGTCTTCTGGGTGTCCTCTTTGCTGAGTTGCTGCTGCTAAGAAAGATGGACACAAGAAGAAAGCAAAAAGAGAAATTATTAATTATCAGAACATGGAAATGGTTTGACATATAGCTTTTAATTGAGTATTTAAAATGCTATTCTAAACAACAGTGTTGGAAGATGTCAGAGATTTTACATTAATAGATAAAGTAAGCATTTTAATGTTCCAGCACTGACAGGCTGCAGCAGTGTATATTTTAGCTACCTGTTAGCTGCTAGCTAGCTTACTTTACAATTGGAGGCTGTTTCCTTACACAGTTACAGAATGGTAAATTGATAATGATGGATAACATTACCACAGCTAACTAACACGTAAATACTTTTTTTTTATTAACGTTAATATAGCTAGTAAACCTTTAAACGTTAGAGCACTGACAGCCTGTGTTGTATATTTGAGCTACTGTGGCTAAAGTTGCTGCAATGATGGATAACATTACCACAGCTAACAAACACATACATACTGTTTTTACTAACCTTACCTTGCGCTGTATCTTGTAATATAACCTCTATAAATAAAGGTTGAAGGAATGAAATTCCGTTAAGTTTCCAGACAGGTCTCCTGAGGGAGAATAGACGCGGAAGTAATGATCCACAGCATCGGGTCAAAAAGGAAGTTGTCTGACGTCATGTGAAAAGGGCCTATACCAGAGGAAACAATCATCCCAAAAAATGTGATTTACATCCAGAAAAAGGAATAAAAGTTTCCAAAAGCAAAATCTCTGAAAGAAAGTAACAGAGCTTCTCCAACATGCAGCCACCTTGAGCGGCACAATTCTAGAACTTATAACTTATAATGGCATGAAGCGCAAAGTTGAGGCCTGGCCATGCCCCTTTAACATATACAAAAATGCAAGCTTTTGATAGCTTTTACTCCACAATGTCTTAAGGGAATATCAACCAAGTTTGAAGGCAATCCTTCCAAATCCCTAGGAGGAATTCGTTCCAACTCGCAATTGGAAACGCTCAACGATGACCCTTTGACCCAAAATGGCCGACTTCCTGTTGAGTTTGGACCAGGGCTCCAAGATACTTTTTCATAGGTCCTGAGAAGATACAGAGGTTCGCCGAGTTTCAGAATTATTGGTCATAAATTGGCTTGGGGCTCAGGTTTTAAAATATTCTAGGGGGCGCTGTGGAGATTATTGGCAACTTATCATGGAATTTTGTTCAAGGGGTGGATAATGATTGATCATACTGATTTTGGTGCATCTTGGCTCCAATCTGTGGAATTTAGAGCCAAATGTATGGCGATGGTGTTACGTCTTACTTCGCCATGCCGCACCGCCCACACGCTCCACCCAAACTGTCTGTGTTGGAAAGCAAGTTACACCAACATGTCTTAGGTCACTGGACACATTAACATGCTGATTATATCACAGGAGTCAGATAGGGATCATTCAACATAAAACTTTACACTTCCTGTTGTCAGGGGACGTGGCTTAACTGATGTCATGATTTGACCATTCAGTCTTGCAGGGGACCGGATGTGGATCAATCACTGAAGGTTTGATGTCTCAGACAGTTTTCATGTAGGAGCTATTAGCATTTCGTTTTTCATGGCGAGATGTCAAACTTTGAGGTCTGGCCCCGCCCCTTCAGCATGCTCCGAAATGCACCATTTAGATAACTTTTCCTCCCCCATGCCTTTTGACCGAAATGGCTAAATTTGAAACTGATTGAGCGAAATCCCTAGGAGGAGTTCGTTCAAATGCGAATGCTGTAAATCGCCCAAAAGGTGTGAAAATTGGGACAGCATTCTAAAATGGCCGCATTCGTGTTTATCGTATAACATTGGTGCCAGAGGGTATTCTGTGCATCTTGGGGAATTGGACAAGTGTACCAAATTTCATGTTTCTACGACAAACTAAGGTTAATGCGGAGGGTATTTTGAAAATTTCCAGGTGGCGCTCTTGAGACGTTTTTGTTGCGATTTTGGCCATGCCCTTAAAATACGTAATTTTTAGCAGTCCTGATGCGTCCGCCAAATTTGTTGACTTTTGGGATATGCTAAGGCCCCCTAAACGCTAATTCATTTGCCCAAACAATTGCAGCTCAGACATGAACAGAGCGATTGCAATAGGCCTTCGCAGCGCTTCGCTGCTTGGGCCTAATTAGATAATAATAATAAAAGAACAATACCTCTTCTTGAATGGTTGTTATGTGGTAGTTGAATCTCTCGGTCATCATCATTATCAGGGCAGGGCTTAAATCTGGGCTCCTGGGCTTGTTGACAATATTAGTTTTAGCTTTTTCATAAAGTGCTTCTACAACTTTTTGGCTGAAGTGTTGACGTGACGGGATGTCTTAGTGGGGCTCAATAACTTTAAAGTCAGCATATCAACGACAGAATACGGACGTAGATCCATAGCTTTAAAAACTCCTACAGTTTGTGTTATTGCTTTTGACCGATCTGAATTACCTGATAAAGGTTGTTTAAATACTGCTCTTATCGGCCTTTGCAACAAGCTGCTAGAAGAGACGTTCACGTTTGGATGATGTTGTTTCAAGAGCGTTAACAAGTCAGACGTGTTGCCTGCTGCAGATCCAATCTCCGTGAAACAACGTTGACACACAGCTTTGGATTTGCATTTGTCTTTTAACAAGAAAGCCATAATGTTCCCAAACAGGAGACCACAACGAGATGCTAGGCTGCTAATGCTACGCGTGCTGCAAGATAATAGCCCTGTGCTGAAACATGCTTAGGAATTTTAGTTCCGTGGCGCATAATCTCTCGTTAATAAAATTTAACGAGTAAAAAAATAACCGAAACTGTACGCATGTGGACCAAACCAAACATGCCTTACCGAAACAGTTCAATACACCCACGTGTACTGTTAAACCCCTAGCAGTTACAGACTCTAATGTTAAATTTAACCCAGGTCACCTTCAATGTCAAACCTCTATCTTTCCTTGATTTGTGCTGTTCAGATTCACACTGTTTTATTGATATGTGTCTAAGATGTTTACACTTGTTCAAATATTTGACATTTAAAAACTTTGATTTGTTGCTGTTCCAAGAGTCAGTATACTTGATTTGTGCTGATCAGATGAAGCAACTCTTTGCATTTTTTGGAAAGGGGTTGTGTTAGAGAAGTTTACACTTTATGGGTATCTGTCTTGGATTCAACAAATACTGATTGAAACCCTTAGAGTTTTATGTATGTTTTCAGGGTGGGATTTTTCGTGTTACCAGGTTTTCCAGTTTTTCTGACATACCTCAAGTTGCCTTTTGGGACATACATTTATACCTATCATACTTGCCTGTAGAGAGAAGTAAGCCTCATATAAAATCAACAAACATGATAGTAATAATATGAAAGCAAACAGTTATCTAGTGTTGGGATAGTATCTGTATCGGCAGGTGTCCAAATTCAGGTATTGGGATCGGATCAGAAGTAGAAAAAATGTGGATCGGTGCATCTGTACTTTTATCTTGGCCTCAGCCATGCAACCCCTGGGTCTCCTCCTCAGCTCTGCCGGTATGGTGTGTTGTTGTAACACAGATGTTTTACTTTTATCACTTTATTTATAGTTGTACTTTATTCTGAACATTTTGCTGAAAGTGTGCAGTAATTTATTTTGTAAATAAAAAAAATTGGCTCTAACTGGGAGGCAGTGGGTGATGATGTAATATGACATGAGGTTGGCCAGGTTGCAAATCCATCACAGGCACAAACAACCATTCACACTGTCACTCACACTTAGTGACAGTTTATAGTTGTCAAATAGTCTACCAGGCATGTTTTTAGTTGGTGAGAAGAAACCAGAGTACAAAGAGAAAATCCATGTAGAGAACATTAAAACTCCTCACAGGAGGCGAATCAGCAACCTTTCTGTGAGTGATCATTGTGCTTCTGTACCACCCTAGTCCAGAACAGGAGTAAGAAATACACAAAATAGATTTTTTTATACATGTTTCTAGTTCAGACAATGCTAAAAAAGCCAGAGAACAGAATCCTAGCAGTTACTCATACTTTTGCTGCAGGTGGGTGAAAGTGTAAAAGTTTATTTTAAGTAGAAATGTATGTTAAACAAATATGTCACATTAATGTATCGGAGTCTGAAGCAGGATTCTCACTGCTGCTGTCTCTGTCCACAGCACCTTGGAGGGTTTTTATGTGGATGATGCTCTGCAGGGTCAGGGGGTGTACAGGTACGAAGACGGGGGTGTTCTCAATGGGACATATGTGGACGGCGAACTCAACGGGCTAGCTCAAGAGGTGGATGGAGAGGGTCGCCTGGTGTTCAGGGGCCAATACAGAGACAACACCCGCTGTGGGGAATGCTGGGTGTACCACCCTGTGAGTGACCTACAAGACTAATGGCTACAAGGTCCAAGTACAAAAGGTTATGCCTTAATCAGTGTTTGTGGTGTTTTAGGACAGGGGCTGTGTGTTTGGGGAGGTGAACAAAGATGGAGAAATGACCGGTGACTCTGTAGCCTACATTTACCCAGATGGCTGCACGGCTCTGTTAGGAAGCTTTGTGGATGGGGTCTTAATCAGGGCTCACCTGGCCACACTGAACTTCCAGCAGACTGGAAAACCACACTTTGAAATCCCACCCAACAGTAAGTACTGACGACATGTTTGTTTCTGAGTAAATGCTGGTTCAGGATGTAAATTCAATTATCATGATTTACAAGTACATCTAAAAAATGTAGAATATTGTGAAAAATGTATAAAATTATTAGTCAGTCGCTTCAGAAAGTGAAACATTATATAGCTTCATTACTCGGAGTGAAATATTGCAAGCCTTTATTACTTGTATTTTCAATGATTATGACTTATACATATTGAAAAACCAAAACTCAGTCTCAGAAAATTAGAATATTATGATAAAGTTCCATATTGGAAACTTATTTGCACTATGCACTGACAAATTGTAGAAATGAGCTACAAATGTCTCATTCCTCATTTCTTCATGTCTCATTAATTGAGTAGACTTGTTCAATTTGGGGGTGATTAACTAGTAACGTCTTATAAATTAGGGTAAACCGATGAATTTCACGACGAGTATGTAGAGAAGCCATTTAACAAGAGTAGAGGTGACAATGATGTGTTCTATGAGGAGCATTTGTAACAAAGACAATAGGAGAGTAATAAATTGTGTCCAGCTTACGAAGAACACCCTTACAAGCATGTCTGTAAATGATGTCTCCATAATCCAACACAGGTAGAATGTTTTTTTGTTTGTTTGTTTTTTTTCCAACAATGGTGCATTTCGCAACCAATGAAGTAGGGCTGCAGCTAACAATTATTTCAATAATCGATTAATTAGCCAATTATTTTTCTGATTAATCGATGAATCGGCAAAAAAAAGTTTTGATTTCCACCCCTTTATTCCTTAATTGAACATTTGGCTGACAGCAATTCGCACAAAAACAGGTTGCTACTTGACTATTCTGTTAGTAAAGTATTGAATAATAAAAAATAAAAGTCAAATAGCTTAAAAAATAAATGTACACAAAAATATAAACAAATGTATGTAGGGCTGCAACTAACGATTATTTCAATAATCGATTCATCGGCCAATTATTTTTTTGTTGATTAATCAATGAATCGGCCAAAAAAAATAAAAAGTTTTAATTTCCACCCCTTTATTCCAAAATTGAACATTTGACTGACATAGCAATTCACACAAAAAACAGGTTGATATTTGACTATTCTGTTAGTAAAATATTGAATAATAAAAAATAAAAGTTAGTCAAATAGCGTAAAAAAAACAAATGTACACAAAATTATATACAAATGTATGCTTTATACCTGCACAATATGTAGCTGCTTTGTAAAATGTGGCCTTGAGGGAAGAGTGTAACCTGGATTAAAAGTGTGGATTATTCTAGTGAAGCACAAAGTTTGTTTTCTCAGTCATCCAGGTATATAACAACAAAAAAGGTTGAATCATGTCATCTGGACTTCGTTTTTTTGTTAAAAAGAAACGTTTCGCCCCTCTTGGATGAGGGGCG